TGCCACTGGAACACACGTTGCTTTGTTCATTGCTGCTCTTCTCTTAGCTCTTCTATCATCGGCTTCAGCTTTCAGCCTTTCCTCTCCCGCCTGGAGTGCCAGACTGCACACAGACCTCCAATCACTCCGATCGGCAGCATGTAGCTCCCAGTTATCTGTTGGCAGGCCAGTGGCGAGCATATCTCTCTTGCATACGTCCTTGAAACGCAGCTTAGGTCTGCCAATAGGCCTCGAACCGGATTCCAACTCGCCATACAGCAGATCCTTAGGGATTCGCCCATCCTCCATCTGGTACACATTACCGAGCCACCTCAATCTGCGCTTTCTTATCAGGGTGAACATCGAGGGGATATTGGCTCTTGCAAGTACCTCATTGTTAGAGACCTTATCTGTCCATGAGATGGAGAGGATGCGACGAAGACATCTCATATGGAAGATGTTCAAGCGCTTCTCCTGACTAGCGTAGGTAGTCCAAGACTCGCTAGCAAACAATAAAGTGCTCACGATGCAGGCACGATACACAGCAACTTTACTTTGGGTAGTTAGCTTATTGTTCTCCCAGAGACGGGAAGACAGCTTAGCCATGTTAGTTGCAGCCTTGCCAGATCTCTTTCCAATCTCCACCTCAAGGCACTCGTTATTTGAGGTGGTGGAGCCGAGATAGGTAAACTGTGTGGCGGCTTCCAAGATGTAATCTGTGATCGTTACGGCAGGTGTGGCTGCATTGTCCTGGGACATGACTTTCGTCTTCTTTAGGCTGATTGTAAGTCTGAAGGCCTCACATGCGTCAGAAAACTGATTGAGGAGTAGTTGGAGTTTTTAAGCGCTGTGAGCAACGAGGGCAACATCATCGGCAAAGAGAAGGTCACGGATAGCTACCTTGCGCGCTTTGGTCTTGACTCTAAGGCGTGCAGGGTTGAAGAGTTTACCATTAGAACGAGATCGTATCAGGATGCCTTCTTCAGAGGACTTGAAAGTATGATTCAGTAAAACTGAAAAGAAGMTGTTGAAGAGAGTTGGGGCTAGCACACATCCTTGTTTTACGACGCTGTTTATATCGAATGCCTCAGACCTGTTTCCGCCATACTGCACTGTACCCCGAGACGCATCATGGAATGATTTGATGAAGCTCAGGAGTTTAGGAGGACAGACAAGTAAGGGCAGAATCTTGAAAAGGCCGTCTCTACTAACAAGGTCAAACGCCTTTGTCAAGTCGATGAATGCAATGTAGAGTGGCTGTTGTTGCTCTTTGCAGTTTTCCTGGAGTTGTCTCAAGGAGAAAATCATGTCCGATTAGAGCGGAAACCACACTGGGATTCAGGGTACACCCTTTCAGCGATCTTTTGAAGGCGGTATAATGCTACTCGGGCAAACAGCTTTCCAGCAATGCACAGAAGTGAGATACCACGGTAATTATTGCGATCACTGCGGTCTCCCTTGTTCTTTTATAGGGTTGAGATAATAGAATCCCTCATCTCCAGGGGAACGCATCCCTCTTCCCGGCCATTGCAGAGTAGCTGGTGGAGATTTTCGAGCAACTAGTTTCCACTGCATTTGAAGACTTCAGCCGGGATACAGTCAAGCCCAGGGGCCTTTCCAGACGATATGTGACTGATTGCCTTTGAGAGATCTTCCTTGGTGGGGGGCCATCTATTTCAAACATGATGGGAAGCCTTTCAATGCAGTCAAGGACGGAGGGTAGGACAGAGCTCGATCTACCATAGAGCTCGCTATAGTATTCCACCCAGCACTTCATCAGTCTTGATTTATCAGTAATGATTTCACCAGTTGATGTTTTGAGTGGTGAGGACTTGGACTCTGTAGGTCCAATCGCCTTCTTGATACCCTAAAACATGCCTCTAGAATTTTCAGCGTCAGCAGCTGACTGGATTTCAGCAAAGAGATTCATCCAAAAGTTGTTAGCACAGATCTTACATTTTTCATCCACGAGAATCTATGGTGCAGCTTCATGCCAAAGAATGGGTTTGTAATACAGAGGTGATGATAGGTGCAAAGCCCCAGAAGGCGTTGACCAATTTCATTGCATTTGCCAACATCAAAGTGACCAAGACAATCAGGCTAGGAGCCTTGATCGTCGCCCACTCTAGCGTTGAAGTCACCGAGTAGAATCAGCACTTCGTTGTTTGGGATGTGGTTGATAGCATCATCCAATTGGCTGTAAAAGGTATCCTTGGCATCGGTACTCGAAGTCAGGGTTGGAGCGTAGACAGGAAGCAAATTGGTGAGACCTAGATCGGTATTGAGTTTTATGTGCATGATGCACTCAGACTTGGTTGAGCCTGGCTCCACCATATGCACTAGCTTGTTGCTGACAGCAAAACCAACTCCATGTACCCTAGGCTCATCTTCATCTCTACCCNCATTGAACACTGAGATTGGATCACCTTTTCTACAGTTTTTTTGCAGTTAAAACTCACAGATTTTGAGGACAAGTAACTCATTCCATCAGCGATTTGCCAAGAAAACTTCATAAGCTGCTGCGACGTCAAATTTGTTTGTGGTCTGATATCAGGGTCGTCGAAGTAGGTGTCATTTAATCCACGGCTCTTTCTCAGGTAACCCAGCAGATCTCCAAAGGGCACATACTCAATCAACACCAGCAATGCCCCTGGAAAAAAGAAGAAAAAAAGCACTGGTACGTAATTAGCAGGGATATTCCAACAATGCTCAGTAAAAGGTATTCAGTGTAAGAGAATTACAGAATGAGGGGGAAACAAGTCCAGTTTTCTTTACCTCATTTACGTCTTACAGAGAAATCTCTCATCAACAGTTAAAGAAAACAACTCACCGGATTCTGTAACACATCCCAGAAGGCGGATGACGCGAGGATGTGGTTTTAGTTGCTTCATCGTGTACAGTTCATTTATCAAATCCCTTTTGTCCGATTCCGAAGCGTCATCTAAAGATAAATTTCTACAATAATCAGCTGCGTAAATTGCCCATTGAGAAGTCAGAGGTAACAAAAATAGAGGTCTTTTCGCTAATTTTAACTTTCACAGAACTTGCAGTAAAAACTGGGACTTTCAATCATTGTGCGCTATCTAGAATGCTTTACCTATAGTAAAACGGCTAAAAAACCTAAAAAAGCACAACCTAGCGTCAAGTTCAGTGTGGTCCAAGTTTGTTGTTATCAAAGGAAGGAAAGAGGGTCTCAGTGAGGGGTAGCTCTGACAACTGATGGTTAATTTTTTCCCATTTTGACGACTGACGTTTAAGTTTTAGGGTCTTTGACGGCTGACGGTTAAGTTTTAGGTAATCAGAAAAACTTTACTCGATGATTTTCATCATTTATAATAAACTTTCAACTATTTTGAGGCCTATTTCGTCTTCTTTTGACGGAGTGGAGTGAGGCGTACTTCTAAGACCTCTAACAATAATTTATGATTAGTTTCAAACAAAACTTTACTATTACAAG